TTGAGGGAAAGAGATAGGTTCTATTTTTTGTTATTTTTATAAAATGAGGAAATAAGTGTTGAATTTATAGAATGAGGACATTCACACTGACCTGAAGCCATCATTACTCTTTGGTAGTGACTTTATAAATTTCACACAGATAAATCTCTCATAGCTCCCTGCTTCACAATCAATGAATGAGTTAATACTCACCAACCATTATGTATTAACTATAACCAGTATAGGATATTATAGCTACAAATATGTGAAACCGTGACTTGGATGTGGATCAAAGACTGTTATAGAATCTCCCTTGCTAGATAAGATAAATGACTACATTAGCATTTCTCTTCAGTCGTTATTTTTTTTTTGACTCATTTAAAACTATATGCAGATAGAAATAGAACTGTTTTAAGTGCTGATCTCAATATGAAATATAGAATTCACAGAATACACAAAAGTATCGATGATATAATATTCTATAATCAGGATGCTATGAATTTTACATTAAAATTCAATTATGTAGTAAAAAATAGAGTTGTTATAGCTAGAAAAAAATATTTTCAGAGGCAGCAGATACCATTGGTGGAAATGAACAGTTCTACATAGACAGAAAATCCAGGAAGTATGCAAACTAGACACCAGGATACTCAGTATATTAAATTTAATCAGAGATTACACAGAATATGACATAAAACAGCAGTATACTAGACTAATTATAATCTGCCACATGTGAAAACAGTTTAGAAAATGGATTAAGGTCATACTCTTTGACAGTAGGCTTGTTGGAAATACAGGCATAGAATCAGATGGATTTTTGTGTCATCTGGTGCTACCTTCCTTTGTCACCAAGTCAACTTGAACTAATAATTTGGTACGGATTCAAGCAGTAGACAGGATGTTGATTAGTAAACTAAGTCTCCTCTAGCGAGGCTGTTAGTTTCATAAAGCCACAATTAACTATTTATTGGTATTTTGGTGAGTATTTTAGATGCAAAAGCACAATTCTCCTAATAGTTGAAAATATAACTTAGAAATACCTTGTGGGACAGTCCTCTGATTGTCTAAAGTAAGAATGTTTGTCTGTTGTGTTTAATTATTTTATTCAGTGACAAATGTGTTTACATATCAGAGACTAGAATTTTAGAGATTAATACTGGTGTAATTTTTAGGGAAATCATGTCCAACTGTATTTATAAAAGCAATAATATGTTAGGTTATTCTTTTCTTTTTAATTGGTGGTACTAACTGGCCTGAGCACAGACTTTCTCCTTTTCAATCATATAGTTACAAAAACTGTACATTACAAACAGTATAGAAACTAGATGAAAAGAATGAGCCACACATCCTGGATAATTATCTATATGCAGTTAAATTTACAGATATAAAAGAAAATACAGCCTACTCCCTTATAGTGCACAGTTATGTTTTAGGTACAATGTATCACTAGCAAGTGGTAGTGGCCAACTCTAGTTGTCCCCAGCACAGAGAATAAGAGCAAGATCCGTTCGGTACAGCTTCCCTCCATCCGACAAAGCCATTATGCTCTTCTTGTATGTTGGAATATTATTAATATCCAGGTCCTGCATAGAACATAGGTTGCATTGTTATCCAGTTAAATATGGAAGTTAATTAACCAATGTCAAGTGATAAAATGTGAGATGAAAACTGCTTGTTACATCAATCCATTAAGAAAAGAGCTGGATTAAATTCTTACACAAATGTGAATAATCACGAGGTTGTTTTTAAAATCTATTTATCACAGTTTTACAGATTTAGGACAGAACCAAATTGAGTTAAGAATTGAAATCTATTTCTGCTCCTCTATAAATTTTTTAAATAGATTTCCAAAATGGATGTGAGGTTGCTTCTGGATGGATCCGTAAAGTCTGCTTAAGAAGTAAGTGGCATGGTAACTAAGTTACCTGTTTATTCTTCTCACACAGATCCTTCAGTAAAGCATCCAGTTCATTTTCATCTATGTATCCATTGCCATCCTGGGGAAGGAGAAATAAAACAGTATACAACCAACTCCATCCACAGTAGTGGGGAATGAAGTAAAATGGAAAGAATTGGAATCTTCAGGAAATCTTCCAACTTGGCTGATATTCTAACCTGTTATGTCAGGCCCTCAAAATTTTTAGCTGCTCCAAAGTTGCAGAATAGATATGAATTGCCTCTCATTCAACACCTTACATTTGTAAAATACCTTGAACTTTTCAAAGTACCTTCACATTTACTATTTCATTTTATGTTAAGGATATTGCCTCCTGTTGAAGTAAGTAAGCAGTTCATAACATGTTCAAGTGAGGACACTGAGGCCTGGGAAGCAATGTGGCTGGATGTCACAGCAGGCAGTGGCCGAGTTGTACTAGAGCCCACAGGTCCAGGAGTAGAGAAATTAGCAGAAGGAAGGGACGTGAACTAGTGATATCACAAACATCCTTTGCTCACACACCTGATATTAACATCTACTATGTGGAAGGATTCTGCTGGATATTTTCATTTAGCTTAATCCTCATTCAACCCTGCAAAGTGGGTATTGTAATTATCTCTTGCTTACAAATGAAAAAATTGAGGCTCAGAGGAGTTTGGTATCTTGTTTAAAGCCTCAGCAAATAAATAATTTATACATTCTGTGCATATAAAATTTAGACATTTCAGATAACAGTGGTGTTAGGTGGTTTAAGGTGAGTTTTACATGTGCTGTTTCACCTGGTTGGCTTTTCATATAATGGTTATAGACACTGTCCTTCCCACACATGTGTTAAGAGTACGGTCTTCCCCACATTCCACTTCCGCTCACATATTGAGAGTTTGGGTTCCCAGTAATTGTATAGACTGCAAACTCTGACTGCCTAAATATTTTCAGGCAAGCAGAGTTGAGTCTTTGATTTAATTTTCTCGTCAATACTAGTGAGTTCGTAGTACCTAGGATTTTCTTTTCTCCAAGATTTTATTCTAAGTGGTAGAACTGAATTAGGGTATTCTTTGTAGAAAAAGTAACTTTTGATTAGAGGCTGTGCAAACTTTGGGGAATCAGTCTTTGTAACTGTATTGTTTTTAGTCTTCTCTGCTGAAAGGAAAAAAATGCTTTGAAGAATAAAAAAATATTGACAGTAAGAACCAGCATTTTTATGTCTTCTCTACAATGTTGAAACTCACAGTATTAAATTTCAGATTAATCTGAAGTCTAAAAAGAAATATATCAAAATGCGAAAGCAGTTTTTGTGTTAGGATGGTGGATTTTTTTTCCTTTTCAAAATGTTTGTAATGTGTTTATATTTTATAATGGAAGCAATAAATGCAAATGTTAAATTTATCTGAGCCTCCTATGGTGAGTATAATCATCACGATGGTTGTAGACAGCTCTTCTGTAGCCCAAAAAGAAAATGAGCCCAATTTTTAAAACGTGGACGTACTTGTATTGCCACTTAACATATTCGAAGAGAATCAAGACTATTAATAGAAAACCCATGAGGGCTGGCATGTTAGCTCATTTGATTAGACCAGGGTACTGATACACCAAGGTCCGGGGTTTGATCCCTGTACTGGCCAGCCGCCAAAAAAAAAATAAAACCCTTGGGAATTTTTTTCTTCACAGGAACCCAGGCTTCCTATATATTATTTGTAAAAGTCCTAGCTCCTCCTCCTGCTGCTGAGCTGGCAGGAGGCACTGTGCTCAGTGCTGCCTCTCCTGCCCTGCCCTTGCCTCCCAGGCTTCGCCCTCCAGAGCCCTCGCCAAAACCCTCATCTGGCTTCCAGTGGCAATTAGGGGAACGTGGGTGGTCCACCCTCGCCTACAGGGTGCTCCAGGATCTGGCCCTTCTGTACACTTTCCCCTCCTGTACTTCCCTGCAGCCTCCCTGGTAGTAATCCCCTCTGCCCCGGTCTCAGCCCCATCTTCCCCTGCTATTGGTCAGCTTTCCCTGACCAACTGATCTCATGCAAGGAAGGCATCTGAGCATACAATGTCACACACCCAGTTTTGTTGTCCTCATCCCTTACCACTCGGAAGTTACCTGTGTTCCCATTACCTGTCCTCCGCGTGAAATGTGAGCTTTACAACAAGAACTTTGTGACAGTCACCAGATCACCAAGTCTTAAAACTATGGTAGGTGTTTAATAAATATGAATTATCACAGCCATAGACTGAAGAAGGTATATCTCCATTTTGCAAATAAGGAAATTGAGTACAGAAGTTAAATAACATTCTAAGCATCATTCAAGTGGCAGAGCTGAGAATCAAACACAAGTTTCTGTGTCCAGAGCCTTCACATGATTATGCTACCTCCCTCGTAATATGGAGGTTGTTTCTCCAGGTCACCTCCTGGTCACTATTCACTGAAAGCGTAGGGGAAAATAGGAGGCTGAATTGCCATCCATGCTTTGGATTCTCATCTGTACAAATCCCAGGCTGGGGACTTTGATGCTCTTCGACAGACCATTGTACCTTGAGGATTCTGTACAAGAATGAGAGGTTGAAGTGGTATCTTGGTTGTATGTTGCAGCTTGACCAGGAGGCATTTACCAAAACAAAAACTAAGAAAACTGGTGACCAGTGCCTAGGATCACTTCTCAGCCTTTTGGCTAAGATCAAGTGCAGAAGTGCATAGGAATTGCTATAAATGGTTCATGTGAAAATCTGTTGAGTTTCTATAGAAGGGAATTAAACAGTAAGTAGATCACAGCTGTAGCTTCAAAATGAAAAGTTCATAAACCATGATGAGCTTACCACGTGGAAACAACTAAATAACCCATCACAGGTGCACAAAAGCTGCCCACTGCCATAACAAGAACACTGAGGAAAGAGATAAAGGAAAAAACTATTCGTAGAAGTTCAATCCCCCTTCAAGTCATGTTTCAAGTCAGGAGACTAGCTGTAGCATTAAGAATTTTTAAAAGTATATCACTGGGTTTCTTACAAGGGAATAATTAGTTACTTGTGTTTGTGTTTTTGGTTTCGTAATTTTAAATCGATAGTATTCGTTCTCTGCAAGAATTCTTCAGATGATACGAAGACATTTTAAAGCATACCTGGTATCCCCAGACCCCACTGATGCATGACCGATAGGTGTGTTTTGCTGCCCTCTGCTGCTCACAGGTGGTACAGCAGTGACTGAACAGCCCATTCCCAGGACTGCCACTTGGTATTGCCAGAAAGCTGGGGAAGCTTGGGGAAAAAAGACTTACGAATTGTTCTCTCCTAAGGCAAACTCCCTACTACAACCAACCCAACCAGTCCGTGCATGGCTGTGCTCCACTCCCACCCAAAATTAAAGTGAAAAATACTGTTTCTGCTAAGACATCAATGAGATGATCCTGGGTTTTCAAGTTATTTGAATGGCTTATGTTAATAGAAAGATGATTGCTGTAAGAGACACCCCTGTGGGTCACCAGGAGAGCTGGCTGATCACTCTCAAAGTGTGCTCTTTAGATTCATCTTGTCTCCCAAAACAAAATCTCAGAGGACAGACAAAGCCGACCACCCCTGTACTTTGCCTCCATCATGTCCATACATACATATATACATGTGCTGACTTTGGAGGAACAAATATTTTCACTCATTGGATATTGGTATGTTGGAGTTAGTGCTTGTTTGAATCAAGACTCACCTTAATGGCTGGATAACCTTAGCAAGTCACTTAACCTGTCTCAGCCTGTTTCTTCATCTGTGCAATGGGGATAATAGTAACTAGTTATTAATCCAGTGAATATAAAGTCCTAGCTATATGTCAAGTGTTTTGCTGACTTTTTAAAGATATGCATGGGAGAAAAGCTGATCCCAATGCCTGGCTCAGAAGTAGCCTTCTAATTTTCACTACTAGGAGTGTTTATTTCCTTATTACATAAGCAATGTTCGTTTGTCAGCTAACTAAAAACCATCATCAGCAACTTTTTTTTCCCTCCCTGTGAAATGCTATTTAAAAGGCGTGGTCCTCTCATTTTTTCCCTACTTAATGGAGACTTATGTAATGTTAGAGTTGGAAAGAATCTTAAGAGTCATCCAATCCAGCTTTTTGCCCAGTGTAGGACTCTCCTATAACCCCCTGTATGGACACCTCCACCTGGCCAGGTGGCCTATCCTTCGGGCAGCTCGACTATTAGTTCCTTCTTGGACCCAAATCAACTTCCTTGTTGATGTCCTAGTTGTGCTCGGTAGATCTTCTTAGGAAAAATATCAGTCTTCTCTCCATTATGAGAGCCCTTTATATATTTGAAGAGAGCTATTACTTCTTCCTTTGTCAAAAACCATCTTTTGTCCAGGCTAAGGTAAAAGGAAATAATAACCACTTCAACCTACGTGGATCTTTTTTTCTAAAATATTTCCATGGAGTACTTTTGTTTTCAAGGAAATACCGCCTTTATTAAGGTGATGGGACCTTACATATTTTGATTCTATAAAAGGGTTCAAATGATGACTTGAGATAAAACATGAAAGTAATTGCCATTAGTTCTCCCCCTGAAATGCATTGCTACAACAATTGGTTCTTGCTCTCAGGCAGCATTTGCAAACTGAATTCCCCATAAAACTGGGAGGCAAAAGGTAAGGCTTGGTACAGTGTGAAGTTCAGGGTGCCATCCCCAGAGTCTGACTCTGTAGCTCTGGGCTGGGGCCCAGGAATTCACATTTTAACAAGTGCCACGGGTTCTCCCACAACCGCATGGCAGACGTTACCCAGGAGGGCCCGGTCCCTCCGCCCCCCAAGCCGGCACTGCCTGACAGAGCCACCCTGTCCCCAGCTAGCCATGTGCAAGACATCATGAGCACACGCACGGTGTTGGGCGCCCGTGCCTGAACGAGTCTCCTTTCCCTGGCTAATCCCTTGCCCTCTTCCCGTTATTTCTCACCCTCTTGTTCGATGCCTGGGATGCCAGCTGAAGTTGGTGGGGGGAGGGGACCATGTGCAAGACATCATGAGCACACGCACGGTGTTGGGCGCCCGTGCCTGAACGAGTCTCCTTTCCCTGGCTAATCCCTTGCCCTCTTCCTGTTATTTCTCACCCTCTTGTTCGATGCCTGGGATGCCAGCTGAAGTTGGTGGGGGGAGGGGAGGGCTTGACCCTTAATGAGCACTTAGCTCTGACCATTTTACTCACATTCACTCTAAG